TTTCTTGAGGTTAATTAGAAAAAAATTTTGATAAGTAAAAAATAATAACCGCCATTACTTTTGGCTAGGACTGTAAATAGAATATTTTGTAAATTCTATTATGTCTTTTGAATTTAATATTTTGTTTTTGCAAAATGATTATTATACTATATATAGAATTATATAATACTAATCTTTATTTAAAATAAATAATATAAAATTTTATAAAAAAATTAGAACTTTATATATTAATTTTATAAACTTATTTAATTAAAAATCAATTTTATATAATATTAAATTTTTTTAAAAATAATAATTTTTATAAAAATTATTTTAAATTAATATTTTTTTATATTATATCTAATTAAAATATATAAACAGTAAAAATTAAATTATTTATTATTAAATTAATTTTAAAATTTCTAATAAAATACAAATATTAGATAACATTATAAATAAAATTGCTTATCTAAATTTATTTTAGATTTTATAAAACATTTAAACTTTTAATTTCATTACTTTCCATTAAGATTTTAATATAATTTTACTATTTTTATAAATTTGATATAATTTCTTTTTCTAAGTTTCATAGATTTATTAATTAAGATTTTAATAAAATTTTATAAGTTTTCTATTATCATTTAAATGACTGGCTAAATCTTTAGGTTTTGTTTAGCAACTTTAATTATAAGTAATATATATTTTAATTATATTCAAATATATTAAGCTAATTATAATATTTGTAATTATTAAAGATAACGCTGCAATTACCAAAAAATATCACAATTATATTGCAACTCATATTGCAATTAAATTTATTAATGTTGCAATTAAATTGCAACTCAAATATAATTATAGGAACTATTTTTAGTAATTATATAATATTTTCTTTTATACAGTTAAACCTCACTATAACGAGTTTCTATATTTTGAATTTTTTGTTATTATGAATTTCATGAGTAATCTTAAATATTATTAAATAAAATAATTGAATATAATGAATTTTATAATCAAAGCATCAAACCTAACATTAATCAGTGTTGAATAAGTTGAATAAGTAATGATTAATTAATTGATTCAATTTATTTAATTCTATAATTCAAATTTGAAATTGCTGAAAATTTCAATTGTGAAAATTGTGAAAATTACGTAAATTTAAAATTAAGAAAATTTTTAATTGTAAAAATATGTATGTGATTGCATAATATGCATAATACATGATATTTGTTATTATTTGTTATTATTGCTTATTTGAAACATTTTGAATAAATAAGAATGTGTTTATCTAAACAAATAAAAAAATTATATAATAAAGCAAAAAATTTGCATTATAATGAATTGTGACTTCCAAAAATGAAGATTCGTTATAATAATATTTAACTATAATTTAAAAAATAAATAATCATATAAATTAATAATATTAATTTATTTAAAATTTAATTAATATAATTCTTTAAATTCAACTTTGTTATTTATTATAATATTTAACTAATAAATATAATTTATTTATTTTATTATGATATACTATTTATAATTTTTTTAAAATCAACTAAATTCATCAAAATTTAAATATATAAGAGTTATTTATCAATTAATTATCAATGGTCTAGATTTAAATATTATTATTAATTAGATAATTTTTTGATTTTTAGCTAATTTAAATCATTTTAACTAAAATATATTAAAATTTATATTATAAACATAATTTTACTTTTGTCTAAATTAAGTATGAAATATTATATATAAAGATGGTTCCCATAATTATTTTTAAAATTTTTAACTAGTTGCAACTTAAGTTGCAACACTTTGAGTTGCAACTATTTATGAATTTTTATATTAAAATAAATTTACAAGGAGTTACAACCAAGTTGCAACTTCTTAATTATGGTATCTATCTTTAATTTTATAGTTAATAAATAAAATAAAATATTAATTATTTTACAAAATTTTAATTTAACAATTACTTTTTTATAAAATAAATATATAATATTTAGATTAATATATTTATTATTTTACAAAATTATTTTTGGATTTAATAATAAAATAATTATTTATTGCTTATTAGATTTTTTTAATAAGACAAATATAATAATAGTTATTTTTAATAATTAATAATAATTAAATTATTAAATTTAAATTATTTCAAGTTAAAAAAATATGTAATTTGAAAATTACTATTCTGATATTTAATGATTATTATTTTAGTTCTTTTAATAAAATAAATTTAATAATTATTTTATATATACTATTAAATAAAGTAATAGTTGTAAAATCATAAAATTTTATTAAAAAATCTTTATGCTATTAAATATATTATTATATTTAATTATTTAATCCAAATTCTTATATATTAAAAAATCAGTTAGAAATAAATAAAACTATTATAATAAATATTATAAAAGTATTTTTATACAATCAAATTATCACATATTTAATTAAAAGGTATTTTTAAAGTGATATATTATTATTTTAGAAGCATTTTACAATAATTCTTATAAAGCAACTTTATTATTTATTAAATTTTTTTTACAAAATTTAAATAAATCATAATTTTGTTACTAAAATAATTCAATTAGTTTTACCGTTTATATCATTTTCCACTCGGAAACTTCGGAACTAAAATGAGATTAATCTCGAGGTTGTTCCTTTAAAATAAGTCAAAAGTGCATACATATGATATTCTAACAAACAACTCCATAAATAGCTTCTAATCGCAAGAAAAGTTTTTATACCATTATGGCAACAAAATTATTTCTCGCAGAAATGTGATATCTCAAATTGAAATTTTTATAATTATATAAGTTTATTGTTGTATTCTTTTCAAGTGACAAAATAATCCACATCATTAAATAAAAAAATTGATTATATATAAAGATTATTTTTCTTTTCTTTTTATTAATTTTTATTTTAATTTTTTTTTTTTGCAAACATTTTTTGTTATCATGGAAAGCGAGAATGAAATGTTTTGGACTTCCTCCGAAAACTTTGAAGACGTTTTAATCGAACCTGATATTTCAGCAGATATTGAATCTTCTCTTCAAGAAAATCAAAAGTTATATCAACAAATTTACTCAAATGAAATCATTTCGGATTTTCCATTGGAACTTCCAACAGGTAATTTATAAGTAATTTTATTCTACTGATTAAACTGAAGTTAATATTTTTTGTTTTGTAGAGGATTTTTATCAGTTGTCAGAGTCCTATCCTTCTTTCGATGCGTCTACTGCAGTACAATTACCATTTGATTCCTATACTACCCTTGCTACAGATTCAATTTTGGCGTCACAAAATTATCTTTATACACAACCAAACTTGCATTATTTCTTTAGTACACAATTTAATGACCAAAATTCTGAATTTGCAATTCCTTCAAATTCACACCACATAAACCTCTTTGACTCTTCTAATTCATTGTCATTCTCTCAACCAAATTTTCTTGATCTATCACTGGACCCTCATCCTTCTTGTCGAGAATCAAATAATAACAATGATAAATCTACAATTTATGAATCTAAACAAGCGAGAAGAAAGCGCCAAAATAAAGTCGCTGCACAAAAATCTCGAGTTAAAGCAAAAAGGTTATTAATCGTTTTGCAGGAGGAAAATGAAAGTTTGAAGAAAGAGTATGAAGAGAAATTGGAGGAAATTAATAGATTGAGTTTAATATTAAATAGATTAAAGGTAGAGGGAAGAGGTAGAATGGAAAGTATTTCTAATAAAATTGCTTAAATTAGAAGGTTTATGACATTATTGCTAGTTTTTTTTTTGTTTTTGTCAAAAAGACGTATTTGTAAATTGATCGACATGGTTATCATATCAAATAAAGGATTATTGTGCACCCGGCGATCACAAAATTGAAATATATAAAGAGCTCTTGTTTGAACTTACTTTGCCATTAAATTAAAATTATATAATAAACGACAGTTTTTTTTTTATTTGCGTATCAATTAATTAATAATTATATTATAATCATATTATATTACAAATTTATACTTTGTACTAAAAATATACTTCAATGGAACAAAAATTAATAGGATTAACATCATTATCAAAAAAAGCTTTGCAATTAGGAGAAAATTTATGTTCTAAAGCTGATAATTTGGTAAAAGAATGTAAAGTTGACGTTGAAAATATTGAAAAAATTTGTCCAAAGTTAAAATTTCTTTGGGGGGAATTAGAAGTTCAAATTCAGGTATTTCGAATAAAATTTTGATTTTTTTGATTTAAAATCATTATCACTAATTTTTAATTAACGTATGAAGTCAGTCGAAAAATTGAAATGTTTTGCAGAAAATCAAAATGGAACATTACAATTATTTTACTCGGTAAGTAAATAATACGAATTTTTATCTAACGATTTTTTTTTAATAAAATATATAATAATAATAATAATAATAATAATAATAATAATAATGGGCTACAGAATAAGGAACAAGAATTAACAATTTTAAGTAATGAATTGGATAGTACATTACAAAATTTACACAGTAAGAATGTCGATTCATCGATAAGAGAGAATGCGATTGCATTGGAAAAATCAACACGAGATAATACGCCACCAGGAATAGGTGATTTATGCGGAGGAGAAAAAGGACTAGAATTCGATCTCATTGAAAAGGAAGAGAATAGAATTGAGGAAAAGGCTGTTTTATTTGATTATGTCGAAGAACATAGTATACAAGAATTAAAAGATAAGACTCAAGAAGAAGTTTCAGCTATTTTGGTAAATCTTAAATATTTCACTTGACAAATTTTTGGATGGTTTTTTTCTTCAAAAATATTTTTTAACAAAATTAAAAATTATTTTATATAGCATTATCTCAGTAATAGTTCGACATTGATTGAACAAATAAAGAATCATCTTTTACAACTTAGTGAAATGCTTGAGAATCATACTATCTCATTTGAAGAATCTGTTTCAGAATTTGCTCGTGATAAATGTAATGTATTAGATCAAGAAACTCACTCTATGGCAGATACTTTAGTTTCGTTAACGAGACATTATGGTCAAGTAGTAGCTGCTTTAAAGTAGGTTACTATTTTATGAAAATCCATTTTTTACTTTTATTTTATTATTTATTTTTAATAAATTTTTAAGAAATTTCTTATTATTTATAGAGCATGTCGTTCGAATGCTGAAGTTGGATCTAAATTAGATATTTCTGGTAGGATAAATAAATTATATCATCGTATTGTCATTGTAATTTCTAGGTTATGTAACTTAAAAATTATATTTATTATTCATTCATTTAGTTTTACAGGGAGATACAGATTTAATACCAACTATAATCGAGGAACTACAAGAAAGTCTTCAAAAAATTGAATCTACAAGGTAAGGAATGGTGAATGAACATTTATTTCAAAAGTGTTATTTTTTTTTAAAAAAAAACAAATTCTAATTAAATTTTGAATTATTTAGTGAGGAGGTTCGTATTCGAAATCAAATTTATCAAGTATCTTATGATGAGGCCGTCAAACTGTTTATGGAATTGGAAAATTTTGGGATTTTGATGGAAAATTTTGCAAGTACGATGAAAGTACTTGAAGTTGATTTTGAGAAAAGTTCTGCTACTGTAGATCGTTACTTGGAAGAATTACGCAATTTAAATTTATGGTAATTATTTTATCCTAATCCTAACTAGAATGATACGATAAGATAACATGTATATGTATTTTTAAAATTTAGGTACGAAGAATTCTCTAGATCATATGATTCTATGATTATAGAGATTGATAGAAGAAATAGGGTCAAAGAACAACACGAAAGAATTGCTGAAGAATTTTTAATAAAATTAGACGGATTATATACTGGTATTTACGATTTAAACTTCTTTTTTCAGTTTTATATGGAGTTTTAATATTTAAAAAATTACTTTAATTTAGAGGAGGAACAACAGAGAGATTTATTCTTTCAAGATCATGGAAGATATATACCAATAGATCTATGCCCTCCTATTCAGGTATTTTTTTTTTTTTTTTGTATTAAAATATATTAAAATACTATTATTATAATAATAATTATCTAAGGAAAATATTCTTTTTTAGGATCTTCCAATTAGATATGAAATAATTCCTCAAAATATTTCACGTTTGCCAACAATATCATATAAATCATTAACAGAAGTAAGAAACTTTTATTCTAAAATCATAATTCTTTATTTTTTTTTTTTTTTTTTTAAAAAAATCATCTTTTTTAGGCACAGGAAAATTTATTAAAACATAAAGGAAGTGTACCTTAGCTTTATGATAATTTTTTGAGATATTTAATAATTATAATTTGAATGTGTTTTTTTTAATTAATTTTGTTTATTCTTAATAATCATAATAATTTTTTTAAATGATAAAAAAAAAGAAAAAATTGTTTATAATAATATAAACTGGTTAACCAATTATATAACTAATCCTTTAATAAAGTAGTACCTTTATTAATTTTAAATTATTTTTTTAAAATATTTATAGTAAACTTTCTTATATTTTAAAAAATAAAAAAAATTGAAGGAAATAGTATTAAAATTTTATTTTAATAGTTTAAAAGGTTTTATAAAAATATAATAATAATTTATTTATATTAAATGAAAAATTCCTTAAAATAAATATTTTATTATAACAATTATAATTACCATATATTACGGTGTTACGTCTGATTTGTAACTCAAATAAAATTAATAATGCTAAGACTAAACTCAGGGAATCACAGCAAAGATTTGTCATAAACGTCAAAGATTATTCTCAATTAAACACGAGTAACTTCTGGATATTTCAGAGATTACGTTTCAGTGACTACACC